CAGCAGCAAAAGAAATCATCTATATGGCAGACATAGTCTTAGGTTGGATACTATTGACATTGGCATTTTTCTACACGTTTAAACCAATCATAAAGTTTAGAATATTTTCAAAAAGACAAATTTCAACAATAAATCCGAGGAATTCTGCTGTAGGAATTTGGTATTTGCTTGTGACGAGTTTAATCAGTGTTTCCTATTTATCTTTTATGATATATATGTTCACAAAAGGATTCGAGACACCAAAGATATTTCGTGGACCTAATTCAAAAGCCATCGATTACATTCATCGAACAGTTTTAATTCTAAATCAGTCTTTACCGCCACCAAATTACATTTTGAATTTGATTGGAAAAATTGAGATTTATGCCACTCCAAAAAATACAAATAATCGAAATATGAACATTCTTGATAGTAGTATTAGTGATACTGTAACATCTGAAACTGTTATCAACATTAATAATAATAATAATTTTAATAATAATAATAATGATAATAAGGATATTAATAATAATGACACTAATACAATTAATAAAATTAGTCTAGATACCTCTGATGGTAGTTTAGATAGTTCTAATAGTACACTATAACATATAACATCATCATCAAACATAAGCTAAAAAATAAATAAAGAAAAACCTAAATATAAAAATCATATTTTAATTTTATAACAGCATTTTCAATTTCGAATCAAACTAATAATACATACACACCAATACATTTCCAAAGCAAGAAAGACGTGACAATTCTTTATTATCGGCATTATCATCTTATTTATTATCACCATATTCAAGTAATTACGAATCTTCAAGAAGTGCACCTACAGAAGAAGAAATAGAATGTACCATGTGTACAGTTGACTGTGTTAAAGCATGTCACTTGGATGACATATTTGCTGATATAAGGTTTGTTTACAATAAATAAATAAATAAATCATATATGATGTCATATTAATATATATTTTTAAAATGTATATATATTATAATGATAATGTTATTTTTGATTTATATATATATAGAACTTTAGGACAAGAATCACTCGAAAATCTTATGAAGGCACTTAAATTTATTGCAGATGGAAATACAACAACAAAAACCAGTAATAATAATAATACCACCACTACTAAATTATCTTATCCACCAACACCTCATACCACATACTCACAACGACAGTCACCGAAAAGCAGTTCCTATGATCCTGCTGCTGTATTCTTTCTTGAACTAATGATAAACGTTACATTACAAAATCGAGATAGAATTCAATATTTATGGTATGTAATTTATTACGATTTATTTATTAGTTTATTAATTTTTTTTTAAAAATAAAAATTATAATTATTTGCATATATCATTGATTGATCATTTAGGCCAATTCTATTTGGACATATAACCGATATTTTAAAAGAATCTCAAAATAATAGTATTCTGTTAGTTGAGAGAACAGTTGTTGCATTGCTTAGATTGTGTATTCGTCTGACACATAAAGATGAAATGGTATTTGATATCTTGCTAGCATTAGAACTATTAGCGACATTACCACATGACGTAATAAATTCTGTTGGTGAACAAATGATGGCAGGAATATTAAATATCAT